AACAGTATGGTGTACATGTATTTATGTATTATATCATATTCTAACTCTATATTCTAATATTCTAATTCTATACGATTCGTTTGCAACGCGTGTTTTGATTGGATACGGACCATGTTCTAATTTGCGATAGAATCATGATCAATCGTGTTAAGCTACTCCCATCGCACTTAAGTCACGCCCCGTTTGATGTACACCATACTGTTAGGTGTTTGTGATTTTGGGGATAGTACATTGTTTTTCGTGTCTATAATGGCGATTAGAACATGAAATTTGGTTTAAACTCTCGACCTATCGGTCTCGAGTTCGAGTTCAAACCCAAATTTCATGTTCTAATCACCAGTATAGCCACTCAAAACAACGTACTATCCCCTAAATCACAAACACCTAACAGTATGGTGTACATCTCTGACATCATTATCACAGCTGTTACCTTCTCTGAGATCCAGTCCATGCCTTCTGTTTGACCTCCCTCTGTGGTCAGACCGTCTGTCATTAAGATAATCCTCGGGTACAAGCGATAGCGATGATGTTCACCAATAGTGAAGTAAGGGTCTGGTACTGAAAGGTAACCTTAAATAAGTCTGAGTACAAGATCAGCTACCCAATGGCATTATATCTCAAGTAAGTCTGAGTACAAGATTAGTTACCCAATGACATTATATCTCAAGTAAGTCTGAGTACAAGATCAGTTACCCAATGACATTATATCTCAAGTAAGTCTGAGTACAAGATTAGTTACCCAATGACATTATATCTCAAGTCGGTAGTCATTTGTTGTTATATTACACACTTATTGTGGTGGCCAATCTCTGCCTTGAAAAAGACACTGGATACTTCGTCAGGGCCATTAAGTTTCATAACAGTGTTACAATCTCCACAAATTATTCCAATGAGAAACACACTACAAAAAAAACTTAAATCTCGTGTCACATGTACATGGAGAGACACAAGTTCTACTACTTACAAATTTTCATTGGGTGACTAATTCATTTGACAGACATTATATAGAACCTACATGTCATGTGACAGACTTTATATAGTACCTACATGTCATGTGACAGACATCTTATAGTACCTGCATATCATGTGACAGACATTATATAGTACCTACATGTCATGTGACAGACTTTTTTTAGTCCCTACAGATCATGTGACAGACATTATATAGTACCTACATGTCATGTGACAGACTTTTTTTAGTACCTACAGATCATGTGACAGACATTATATAGTACCTACATGTCATGTGACAAACAGTATATTTAACTAACAGGTCTTTTATCTGTAACAGTTTCAATGAATCCTTGTCTGTTTGGAAAAACAGCAGTATAATTATTAAAGTAATTACCTTTGTCTGTCTGGAGAAGCAGCAGTATAATCATTAAAGTAATTACCTTTGTCTGTCTGGAGAAACAGCAGTCTAATCATTAAAGTAACTATACCTTTGTCTGTCTGGAGAAGCAGTAGTATAATCATTTTAGTAAATACCTTTGTCTGTCTGGAGAAACAGCAGTATAATCGTTAAAGTAATTACATCTGTCTGTCTGGAGAAACAGCAGTATAATCATTAAAGTAATTACCTTTGTCTGTCTGGAGAAAGAGCAGTTTAATCATTAAAGTAACTATACCTTTGTCTGTCTGGAGAAGCAGTAGTATAATCATTTTAGTAAATATCTTTGTCTGTCTGGAGAAACAGCAGTATAATTATTAAAGTAATTACCTTTTTCTGTCTGGAGAAACAGCAGCTATAACCATTAAAGTAATTACCTTTGTCTGTCTGGAGAAGCAGCAGTATAATAATCAAAGTAATTACCTTTGTCTGTCTGGAGAAACAGCAGCTATAACCATTAAAGTAATTACCTTTGTCTGTATGGAGAAACAGCAGTATAATCATTAAAGTAATTACATCTGTTTGTCTGGAGAAACAGCAGTATAATCATTAAAGTAATTACCTTTGTCTGTCTGGAGAAACAGCAGTAAAATTATTAAAGTAATTACCTTCGTCTGTCTAGAGAAACAGCAGTATAGTTATTAAAGTAATTACCTTTGTCTGTCTGGAGAAACAGCAGTATAATTATTAAAGTAATTACCTTTGTCTGTCTGGAGAAACAGCAGTACAATAATTAAAGTAATTACCTTTGTCTGTCTGGAGAAACAGCAGTACAATCATTAAAGAAATTACCTTGTCTGCCTGGAGAAACAGCAGTTTAATCATTAAAGTAATTACCTTTGTCTGCCTGGAGAAACAGCAGTATAATCATTAAAGTAATTACCTTTGTCTGTCTGGAGAAACAGCAGTATAATCATTAAAGTAATTCCCTTGTCTGCCTGGAGAAACGGCAGTATAATCATTAAAGTAATTCCCTTTGTCTCTCTGGAGAAACAGCAGTACAATAATTAAAGTAATTACCTTGTCTGCCTGGAGAAACAGCAGTTTAATCATTAAAGTAATTACCTTTGTCTGTCTGGAGAAGCAGCAGTATGATCAATACAGTAATTACCTTTGTCTGTGTGGAAAAGGAGCAGTATACTGGCGAGAAGGGCTTCCAGCATTGGACTTGTCTCTCCTTCAGCCTCTAGGTTTGTTACAGCATCTGCAAACAGGTGCTCATTGTAATGGGGGCCATTTCAATAGTCCACAAAACAACCTCTTCAGTTGCAAATTAAGCTAATGGAAGTTGCAGCAGTGCTTGTAGTACCATTACACACCTACATACCAAATTTGAGCAAAATCTGTGTCGATATCTAAATTTAAACCAATCAGAGCTAGGCCAGTTTATGGTGGCCATTTTGTCCAATCAGAAATCTGAAGCTGCAGAATTGTTTGTAGTTCCATAATACACCTGCATTCCTCATTTGAGCGAAATCAGTCAATATATAAATTTTGACCAATAAGTGGCTGCAGTGTCCAAGTTGGATGACTGATCTAAAAACAAAAGTTGTTTGCATACTACTTTCCATTCATGAAAACTTATAATTTTCATGACATTTCTCCCAATACATTCCCAGATGATAGAGTACCTGTCATGTCATGTGATAGACTTTATTATATAGTACTTACATGTCATGTGACATACATTATATAGTACCTACAAGTCATGTGACAGACACTATATAGTACCTACGTATATACATGTCTTGTGACATACATTATATAGTACCTACATGTCATGTGACAGACACTATATAGTACCTACATGTCATGTGACAGACACTATATAGTACCTACATGTCATGTGACAGACATTATATAGTACCTACA